TTTTTTTCACTAAATTTAATTTTTATTTTTTATAGAACAACACGCACTTGCCGCGCTGGGGTCATTTGTGACCCAGTTATGGTATAAGACTATCAACCAATAATCAGTGTCAAAACTGAAATCATAAACACACTGTGACCTCACTAACTTTGTCATACATATGTTAGGGCCTTCTGTTTTACCTGTTTGTCTACTTCACTGACCAAAACATCCCCATTTATCCGTACTACTTTTATTGATAAGTCCCTCATACTCTGCTCCCAAAAACTGAAAAAGTTCATCCAGCTGTAGATGCAGAGACATGTTGAGGCATGCCCATGTAGAGATGAGCCTACCTGGATAGCCATGCCCATCTTGATAGGCAGACCTAGATAGACACACCCACCTGGGTGTGTCTCTACATGGGCATATAGAGACATGTAGAAACAGACACTCCATTTTACCTAGAGCTTGGCTGCATACCAAAATGAAGAGAAGATTCACAGTACAAGAAGCTCTAGATCACATCCTTGCTGAAAATGATGCAGAGGACACACCTAGTGACACAGATGAGCCAGTTTCTGAGGAGGACGATGCTATTGAATATGAATCAGAGTACACAGACTCGTCGGATGAGGAGGGCACAGGTGCTGAAGCTGCTCCTGTAACTGAAACCTATAAATCCAAAAACTTGGAGTGCGATTCCTCCTGTTTCACGTGGCAGGGAAGCTGCTGAAAATGTTATGAAGATGACCCCTAGGATTACATGGTTTGCTGTGACACGAGTAAGTGACATCAAGACATGCTTTGATTTGTTTATGCCATTGTCACTAAAGAAAGTCATCATTGCTATGACAAACCTCGAAGGGAAAAAAGTTCACGGTGACACTTGGAAGGACATTGATGAGGAGTGCCTGGATGCTTTTATTGGTGTTCTTCTTCTCGCTGGCGTGTACAGATCCAGCAATGAGGCCCTTACTAGTCTCTGGGATGTGTCCACAGGCAGGAGTATTTTCCGCGCAACAATGTCACTTCAGACCTTTCAAATGATCTCAAGAGTCCTCAGATTTGACAACAGTGATACTAGAGCACGGTCTGACAAGCTTGCTCCCATCAAAGACGTCTGGGATAGATGGGGGAAGCTCCTTCCACTGATGTTCAACCCAGGACCAGAGGTGACAGTGGATGAGCGTCTTCTCCCTTTCCGTGGAAAATGCCCCTTCCGGCAGTACATGCCCAGTAAGCCAGACAAATATGGCATAAAAATCTGGGCAGCCTGTGATGCGAAAACCAGCTATGCCTGGAATCTACAGATTTACACAGGCAAACTTGCAGCTGGCATCCCTGAGAAGAATCAAGGAAAACGGGTAATCCTTAAAATAAATAAATATACATGGGTCAAAACTTCCCCTTAACACTATAAATGTTACTATGGTTAATAATATTAAAATAACAAAATAATAAGACAAATTTATTTTAGAGATGTGTTCTAATACTTCTTAAAAAAACACTGTTTTGAGGGCATTTTTTGGCTGATTTAAGACGGGTCACAACTGACCCGTTCACATCATAAGTGCGTGCGGGATCTCGCCCCGCTAGGAAGGTTAAATGAAGCCCCAGAAAGAGTGCGTCTGCTCGGACTCTCTGAATGTCTCCGTAAATCTGAATGTGTTAATTTTGGAGCAGCAGGTTTTGTTAAGTGACTCTGGTTGTTGCGTAGGTATCGAGCCGACAGGAAACAGGGTGCTGCGTCCGGCCGTGTTCACCGTGGACACGTTCAGCGCCGGTCAGGGTCAGGTCACCGTCTACCTGGACCATCCAGACGGCACCAGAGAGGAGGTAAACGGTGACGGGTCTGTCGGGGCGGTTGAGTCTAATGAACTTTAACTGATCCATGGCGTCTACCTGGGTTTGTGTTTAGCTGAAGCCGGAGCTTAACGAGGGAAAGAAGACGTACAGCGTCACCTACGTCCCTCAAGTCACGGGGACACACAAGGTAAACCTGCATCTTTCTGTAGAACGAACGTTATGGATTCAGATTTTTTTTTTACATTTGAGTTCTGCATATAAAAATCTAATTTAAAGGATGTTTTCCTTTTTTTTTAGGTGACCGTGTTGTTTGCAGGCCAGCAGATTCCCAAAAGTCCATTTGAGGTGGGTGTGGAAAAGGCGCTGGGGGACGCCTCCAAAGTCACAGTGAAGGGCCCGGGAATCGAACCCGTGGGCAACATCGCCAACAAACCCACCTACTTCGACATCTACACTGCAGGTGAGAAGAGACGGGGATGCTCCAACGTTCCTCGGTTAATTTTTCAGAGAAATTGAGTTTTTAGCTTTAACGTTTTCTTTTCTCAACAGGAGCGGGTACGGGAGACGTGACGGCCATGATCCGAGACCCGCTGGGCCGCCAGAACAGCGTGGAGTTGATGATGGAGGATAAAGGGGACAGCATGTACCGCTGCACCTACCGACCCATTCAGGCCGGACCGCACGCAGTCACCGTTACCTTTGGAGGGGTGGGAATCCCCCGGAGCCCCTTCAACGTGGACGTTGGACCTGGTTGGTTGTTTTTTTCTTCCATGTCGGTTAAACCGAAGCTTCAGGTGAACAAATCTCTGAACGTTTGTTCGTTCTGTGTCAGCCTGCTCACCGGGCGCCTGCAGGGCGACGGGTCGAGGTCTGCAGCCGACGGGGTTGAGGGTGAAGCAGGTCGGGGATTTTAAGGTGGACACAAGAAACGCTGGAAGTGGAGACCTGAAGGTGCTCGTCAAAGGACCCAGTGAGTATTTTATTTACTGGTTGTTAAAGTTGCAGTCATGTTGTGGTCTTATTCATACCAAGCACTTCTTTCACAAAGTGTCCTAATTATCATGTCACAAGTTATTCTCGTCTTTGTCTCTAATCAGTCACAATTTGGTTTTGAACATGAGGAACATTTTGACACATTTAGGAAACTCCTTGCAGACCAGTAAGATACTGACTGAGACTCAAATATAATGGTTGGTTCCAGACTTAAGACTATTTTGTGCAAACAGCATATTTAAGGTAGTGTCTAACTGTTGGAGACACGTTGGCAACTCAGAACTGCAAGAAAAAACTAAAGATTTCAGTTGGAGTCTCAGTGAGCGACCATCAAGCCCTGCAGCCACTTTTCAGAGACCACTTTGTGAAAATGACGACTCATTTTGATCAGCATGACTCACAGAACTGCATTCTGTGCCGTCTGCTGGTTCACTGTCGTTCTGGCAGTAACTAAAGACGCCACGTGGCACCAAGATGGCCGCACAACTTTACTTCGTTTGTAATAGAAGGCGTTGTGGTTCAGTGTCTTAAAACAAAGTAAAAGTCTTGAGATTCTTCTTCTGACTGCTCCTTCTTCAGGAGGTGCCACAGCAAGTCATCCTCCATCTCCCTCTTTGTGTCCTCTGTTCCCGCCCCTGTGTCCTCTGTACCTGCCCCCGTGTCCTCTGTTCCCACTCCCGTGTCCTCTGTTCCCGCCCCCGTGTCCTCTGTTCCTACTCCCGTGTCCTCTGTTCCCGCCCCCGTGCCCTCTGTTCCCGCCCCCGTGTCCTCTGTTCCCGCCCCGTGTCCTCTGTTCCCGCCCCGTG